AGGCCGCCATCAGGAGAAGCATCAGCCCAGCAAAGACGAGCGGGAGGAGGATCCTGAGCTCGGTGATGGGGTGCCTGGGGATGACAGAGGGGGACTGTGCACCCCGCTAGGCTTCCATCTCAGCCCTCTCCCGGGCCCTGGTGGTGGGGAGGCCCGAAGACCTCACAGCCTGCAGGACTTGGTTTCACAGCCAGGGAAACTCTTGGGTGCCCTCAAAGATGTTTTTAATAAAGGAGAGAAGGGCTCCACAAGGTAGGGGTCGGTAGGTCTAGTGGCCCAGCAGAAATCACAGGGCAGTGGGCTCCCACCAGGTCTCCCTGCTTCCATGCCTGCCCTCTCTGCTAGACTGAACAATGTCCCCCCAAACTTGTGTCCAGTTTGAGCCTGTGAACACGACCTGTTTGGAAGTAGGGTCTTTGCCAATGTGATCAAGGTAAGACGAAGTCGTACTGTTTAGGGTGGGTCCTGGCCAATGACTGTCACGGCAATGAGGGAAATTCAGACCCAGACACCCACAGGGAGAAGCCAGGTGACCACAGATGCAGAGGTTGGACTGATGCAGCTACAAGCCAAGAAGCCCCAAAGATTGCAGGCAATCACCTGAAGCTAGAAGAAAGCATGGGACAGACTCTCCCTTCGGTAGCTCAGAATGTGACTATATTTGGAGAAAAGGTCTTTAAGGAGGTTATTAAAGCCAGGCACAGTGGCACACCAGGCACAGTGGCACATGCCTATAATCGCAGTGACTCAGAGCCTGAGGCAGGAGGATTGCAAGATCAAGGCCAGCCTCTGCAACTGAGCAAGACCCTGTCTCAAAACTAAAAAAAAAAAAAAAGGAAGTAATTAAAGTTAAAGAGGTCATTGATGTCGTTGGTATGGGCCCTAATCCAGTGTAACTGGTGTCCTTGTGAGAAGAAATTAGGACACAGAGTTACACAAAAGGGAGGCCACGTGAAGACCCCAGAGGAAGTTGGCCTTCTACAAGCAAAGGACGAGACCTTGGAAGAAACCAGCCCTGCTGACTGACACCCTGGTCTTGGTCACCTGGCCCCAGAAGTGTGAGGAAAATTAATTCCTGTTCCTTAAGTCCCCAGCCTGTGGTGCTAGTTAGGGCAGCCCTAGGGGCGCATACAAGGACCCCCCCCCACCTGTTCAACTTTGAATTCACAGGAATGTGAAGACACAAGTGTCAATTAATTACATCTACGTTAATTGGTTCCAGGAGTTATCTTGAGGTGGAAGAATTTGAGGGTGGATCCCTGGACTCTGTTCATTCCTGTACCCCCTTGTGTTCCTCAAAACAGCGACAGGTGTGAATGGACGCTCCATGGCTTTTTGTTGACTAAATGAACAAATCGTCCGTCTCGCGCTAGTCCAAGGCTCCAGTGGCACTCACACAAGCTTTGATTAATAAGATGGGGCCTCCTTGGCTATTCTTATTAAATGCAGTTTGGTAAGGAAAAAAAAACTCTCAAAACAGAGGGCAAACAAGAGAGGGGGGAGAGAAGGGAGTCCCTGGTGGTGGAGAGATTGGGGAGTCCCATAGAGATTGGGTGACAAGGGCCCAGCAACAGAAGACCTTGGCAGATCTAAAAAATAGCCACAAAGTCAAAAGGCTCAAGAAAAGCCAAAGGAGGAAATCAAAGAGGCTCTCGGCTTCTCGAAAGCCCTTTGACTGCAGATGGCTGGGCAGGGCACTGAGAAGCAGGCGC